AAGACTTCTGTTAAGACTAACATGACACTCTTTAGCACTGTTCGGCATACTTTTATTAAAACTAGCAAGATTTACGCTGATATTTTTTGAGCATATTAAAATGTGATGATCTGAAGAAATTAGGGAACTCAGAGAAAAGTTCACTGAGCACAAAATATTAGTAAGAAGAATCAATAGAATTTTGAGTATTTTGGTTAGGGTCTTTTAAGATTACATAAAATGTGGTTGATTTCAGATTGGGACTCTTACTTCTCAAAAGTTTATTCAAAATGCCGTCGTCGGGAAAACAGTATGACTGAAGTATAGATACTTTGTACCACGTCAGTTTCCACGGTGAGCACACTGAAGTTGGGTCGCTTGGTCAGAATACAATGGTGTACAGTTTTCTATTTCTGTCAAGTCGAGATGTAGAGCAACCTCCACACCATCTTTACGTACTTGTCTTCATGTTTGACTTGTTTTGCTCCAGCCGTCATGACTTTTGACCAGGACGGGTGACAATCCGTGAGTAATACTAACTTAAAACTGATATGTCCTGTCAAATCTCCAAACCGGATTACTTCAGAGCTCATTAGTGATTTGCTTCGAGATGAAACTCCCAAAGTTCTTCTGAAAAGTCGTGACCCGCGGGGCCGACCAAGACGGGCATGTGGACAGTTACTGAACGACGGCAAGGGATGACGATCACCCTACATCTTGAACTGACAGAATTAAGAAAATGTGACCTATTGGATTCGGATACACTGGTTAGATGACTACATGCTAGCCGAGGAACCTGGAGTTCCTGGGTTCGATCGTCGAAGTGTTTACGAGTGTGCATAGCTGGAGAGTTTCGTGCTAAGGAGAAACCGTTGGTCAGTGCTTAAGATCTTCAATGATTTCCCAGTTGGTGTCAGTTGGTGATGAATACTAAATGGGAGTCAATAAATGCTCATAAACCTCTAAACTGAATGCTTACGTTGTCTAGACTGAAACCTCTTACATAAGCGAAACATTGAGCAGGGAAAAAGTACAGCTTTATTTAGTGTTGGTGAAGAGAATTAAAGGTGAATCGAATCTCGTTATAAATCACTTGATTAGAGTATGGTCAACATATTGGTTGAAGTAGTTGCATGTCTTTATTAAGTGCTTAAGTCATATGAGATGAAATCTTTACGTGGATTTTGTAGATAGCATTTTTATTCATTAAAAATGGATATGTGAGGTTAAGCTTAGTTTTGTTTATCAGGGAATGACTTCTGTTTATTAAATTTATTAATTGTGCCGGAGGGCAGATAAGTCATTGTTAGTTGGTGCATATGCTGATATAATAAAGTGTCCTTACCACCCCTAAGTAATAACATAAACATTTCTAAGTGTTGCGTGAGTTGGTTTTAACGCCACTTTGGATATGATTAGGATTGGACACCTTGTTTCTTCACTTATATAAGGATATATATTGGCTGAGTCAGAGGGTAACAAAAATTCAGAGTATAAACATGAGTTTAATTCGGCCTTTTTTAATTTGGCCTACTCGTTATTCAAACTATATATCTGAAAGCCTGTTAAGAACCCAACATTAAAATACAGTGTTTACTTAGTGTTTGTGAAACATTATCGTTACAGATACTTCTACTGATCAACTTGAGTTGTTAGAAATCTATCAGGTTGATCTGTAGTATTTCTCCAGCCAGATCGGAGTAATATAAACACTGGATGGCTGTTTCTCTAGTATGGGGCCAAGCTAACCAACAGTGTACTCGGCTGGCAAAATACTACAGATTAGCCTGGGTGCTTTCTGACTGCTTAAGTTGCTCAGTGGTAGTATTTTTCGTTATTTCATGACATTTTCGTGTCGAAGATCCCACCTTGTTATCTCGGTTGAGTGGTTTCTGGCGGAAACCTTTTTGAGTTGGGCTAATCATCTGTGAAAAATGTCAACATGGACTGTGCAATTTGTAAATCATCTGGAAACTGTTCATTATATAATCGTTGCAGGTGAGAATATCAGAGTGTCGAAGGCATTTGATCACAGTTTCTTTTAAGAAATTACTTTCCTTGAAATTAAAAATATCTTGAAACTACCGGAGCTGTACCTAGGCTATTAATCTATGAAGTCATTCTGATTTTTGTCATTTAAGGCGTCAAGTTATTAGGCTCACAAAACGTCAATGATTGGAGCAAAATCTGGATCAGGGCACTTTATGGTTACAGGATACGTAGTTGACTTGGGTCCACAAGGTATGTGACTCTGGGCTTCAAGAATTCGGAGAACTTCAAGTTTATTTGTTAAGTTTACGAGTAAGTCAAGTGAATGGATTGAATTCCTTGAACTTCAATGCGGAAATTTAGTTTGAAATATACCTATAATGATTTGAAGGAAGAACAAGTATTTCAGCAAAGAGTCTCTTTTCGGAGATTTCATTTTCAAAGCTGTACAATAGCAAACCTATACTTTTTTTCTAGTCTAAGGATTTGATAGTTAAAAACGTCTTCTCAAGCATGGCAACACAAATAGTGTCAATAAAAGAGTGGTCATTAAAGTAAAAATACCAAAAACTAAAGAGTAGTGAATACTAATCAAAATAAGTTTGGACCAGAAGTTTGGAGACTGAACTGTGATCAGACAGAAGAAAGTGACAAGAATGAGTTGCAAATTTCTTAAGAATTGAATAGTGTCGAAACAGAAAGATGAAAAGAAAAAAAGGAGGGGTAGAGGAAACTGAAAACTAAGACCATGGAAGGAGAAGGGGTTGAACAATTTCCCTTTTTGTACACAGTTCAGTCTTCTCCATTTGGATGACAAGAGCTTTGGCGATGCAGAGAATACAAAGACATACAGCCTTTGGGTGGTTTCTTTTCACTTTATAAATGACTTGAAAAGAGGAGGTTTTTGAGAAAGGGTGATTTGTATTCACTATGTATTCAGTTGTAGCACTCCTTATCACCCCATTGTTACCTCTTTGTAACAAAGCGGGATAGGGTTCTTGAACCCTTTCGGATACATCTGGCTCCACAAGAGCAGGTGAACTGATACATGCACAGAAACTTTCTCATCTTACCACTTCTTTTCATCTTTCTGTTTCGACACTATTCAATTCTTAAGAAATTTGCAACTCATTCTTGTCACTTTCTTCTGTCTGATCACAGTTCAGTCTCCAAACTTCTGGTCCAAACTTATTTCGATTAGTATTCACTACTCTTTAGTCTTTGGTATTTTTACTTTAATGACCACTCTTTTATTGACACTACTTGTGTTGCCATTCTTGAGAAACCGTTTTTAACTATCAAATCCTTAGACTAGAAAAAAAGTATAGGTTTGCTATTGTACAGCTTTGAAAATGAAATCTCCGAAAAGAGACTCTTTGCTGAAATACTTGTTCTTCCTAGAAATTTAGTTTTATCCATCAGTTATCATTTTCTAAACTTTGATCACCCAGTTTATGAGGTTATTTCAGCAGTTGAAAGTGGAGCCTTTAAGATGACTCATGAAGCTAGCTAGGGCAATGACCAATTCGGGGTGAATGTAAAACGGCGGGGAGGGGGACTTTAAAGGTCACCCTAGCAACGAGTAAAACAACCAATTCGGTTAAAAGTCATCCTCAGGTGTAATAGTGTGCTCTGTGTGAAAATGCGTATTTCCTATGTTATTTATGAAGATATTTTGAAGTGAAATCTGGAATCATAATTTTTTTTTGCTGAAATTTGAAACCTGGATTAAATCTTTTTGATTTGTGAGCACCATACTTCATAAGTAACTGCACTCGCTTTCCACCTAAAAAGTGGAAGCGCACATAAATAAGGAATATGAAACGCAATTCAAAACTATACAGAGAGGTTGGCAGCGAGGACGGGACTTCAAGTGAATGTAGAGAAGACAGAGGTAGAGGTGATGAAGATACCTAACCAACAACAGCATCAACAACAAGAGGCACCAGTCACCATCAATGGGAGAAACTTAGAAAAAGTAGCCTATTTCACCTACCTATCTAGGCAGCATCGTTTCGACTACAGGCGGCACAGGCACAGACGAGTACATCAAAGCCAGGATCGGAAATACAGCAAAACAGGCTTTTATCAATTTGAAATCAGTGTGGAGATCTGCTGCACTGCACTCAGCATAAAGCGTGAACACGATTCAAATTTTCAACACCGATTCAGTCAAGTCATTGCTTCTATATGGTTCAGAGACTTGTCGCGTTACGAAAGCATCTTCAACAAACTACAGACATCCATCAACAGCTGCCGCCTATGCCCACTCGATACTGAAGATCAGATCAGACGGTCAGAATAAGAATAAACAACAAGGAACTCTGGCTGACTGGCTGGTAACGAACCAACTAAGAACCTATCACTCAACAAATGTGCAGAAGAAAGTGGATATGGATTGGGCATACACTGAGAAGACCATTTGGGGACATCACGCGCCAGGCACTTGAGCAGAACGCAGATGGGAAACGATGACTTGGGCGTCCGAGGTGAGGGTGACATGGAGGAGATGATGTGAGGAAGAAATGAGAGCTTGTGGGTAGTGGTGGTGCCACGTTCCAAAGGTTGCAGAGAACAGAGTGAAATAGCGACATGCTACTGAAGCCCTATGTTCCACTAGCAAAGCAAGGGACGAATAAGAATAACAATATACAGAGGTTAAATATGCATAGCAAATACAGAAACTACGCGCATTTTCACACCAAACACTATAACCTATAACAAGCACTACAACACTTGAGGATGGATGATTTTTAGACTATCCCACTAAGTTAGTCGTCACTGCAGCTAACTTCTGACAAAATGAATTCGACCTTGAAAAAATTAGTAGACTATTTTCTTTCTATCCAATCACATTTTTCATGATGTTGACATTTGATTGGCTTTCCAATGAATACTGTTCAATCATTTATTCAATCAGTTTTCGCCTACTGGGAAAACATTTCAAAATTGACTTTGAAATTGGTGCACAACTATGTTGTAGCACTTAATTGTTATTACAAACCAATTATAAGAAACTTAATTCAGTTTTTGTAACCCCTTTCATGTTGATGTTCATCTAATTTTAAGGTGTTAGATAAATGACAAACGTTCAGTGTTTATTATGATGTCAACCACTGACTTTAAATATTATAATATATTATTTAATGTAAATATACATTTATATTGGTATATGGATTATAATCTAATAATATTGTCTTCTTCTTATTAAAGATAATATATAAAAATGTTTGCTTCAAACGTCCATAGCTTTATTCATTGGCTAACATTAGTTATATATATGCATGTTCTGTGAATCACTAATCTTTGATGTACTTTACATTTCTCATTTGAACAAATCATCTATGCACAAAACTAGTTTGAAAATCTCATACAGACTACACTTAGATTTTGTAATTTATTACATTTTAATAAATTTTTGTCTGTATAGTACATCCATTGAACAATGCAGAGCATTATTGAATAAACAAATATATAACACAATTGAAAATGAATATGGAATCAATGAAAGATATAGTGCCAGATCGTTGATAAATCTTGTCCTTATTTATTTAACTGTATTCCAATCAAATCTACTAAGGTGGTATAAAGAAGTTGTGAAAGATAAGCGTGTTTTCTGGTTGTTGACACTCATAATTCTTTCACATTTGATACACTATCCTCTAGAAAGACCTACTTTACAAGGCCATGCATTGAAGTTGAAAATAAATAATTATATAAATCTTATTCAAGGTAAAATTTATAATTGCCTAGCTTATCTGGATGGTTATTTAACATTTCCTACGGTAGAGGCTAGACAACCACCAGTTGGATTTCCTGAACCACCGGAGAAATTTACATCTTATGAACAAATGGTTGATTACTTGGCAGCTGTGAATCAGTACTATCAAGTGTTTGGCCGTTCAAGGTGAGTAATTAACGAATCATTATTATGTGTTATGTGTACTGTGTATCATTTTGACTACCTGGTAGGTTTGTATTACTGATAATACCTAATGACTGATGGTGAAATGAAAATCTGGGCCATAGCAGGATCCGAAAGTGGTGACCTTCGGGTTTCCGGCCCGGTGCTCTACCAGCTGAGCTACTAAACAGGGCAGTTCACTAGATTTTTATTTCACTTCAATCACTAAGGGTTTCGCTCGACTGTTATGTGAATTCATGATGCGTCACTATAGCTTGATCGTGTTCAAACTGGTGGTCAAGTCACGACTTCTCACATCAATGCAGATGTTCGTAAATTAGAGACGAGGAGGAGGAGCATCACATGGGTTAGCAGTCTGACGTTGTTTGGCAAACTTGTGTGAATGAAGTAAAATTAAGATTCCGTCAGCAGCGGGGTTTTATAGCTCAGTTGGTAGATCACAGGGCTGGTAACCGGAAGCTCTCTGGTAGGAATCGTGATGCAGCCCAGATTCCCACTTCACCTTCAATCAAATCAAAATGGAATTACAATCAGCAAACTTGTCCACATTCTTGTAGTATCCAGTGAGCCATGCCTATGGTGTGAGGGCTAGTGATACTGCCTGGTTGCCCAAAACTCGTTAGGTTCAGTGGGAGCAGAACATGTGACCTATTGGTTAGAAGTCATCTCTGTAAACCAGCTAGCCACAGTATCTTCAATCAACGTCGAGTATACTTCCAAATGTTTAAGTAGGTGTTCTTACTTCGTTAAAAGCGGCCAGACTCATAAACACCCCCAAGGATATGTAACTGGGAGTGTCTATTTCAAACTCTAATGAATTGAGTTATTGCCAACTTTCGGATGGTTCAATTTTTCTTTCTAGGCGGAAAGATTTTCATAAAAGAGTTGTTGTTCTAATTCATTTTCGTGTTGTTTTTCTCCCTAAACACTGCTATTGAAATCTTTCTCAAAGTTGGTGAAATTATTAACGTCTGTCATTTAGTATATTACATGAATCGAGATGGTTTTCAGTTGCATGTCTACCCAAAAATATCATGCATATTCTATTTAACTAGTGAATGATGTTGATGTTTGCAGATACTTTACAAGATTTGAATTAAACCGAAAGTTTACTGGTTGAATAATTTCCTGCACCCAATATCCTTCTAGCAAGACCATTTAAATCCTAATCTACACTTCACCATTGTTCTGTTGTTTTTTATTACTTGTAGAATTTGATATGCCAGGATATCTTTCACTTTCCTTACTGAAATCGAAATTAATAGAATTGGATGAAACGAAATTAAAGTGCATAATGAATAGGAAAAATGTTAACTTGATTTTATTTCCAAAAGTTGTTTACATGTAGAAAGCACTGAGGTTCCAAGATTATTAAAAAATCACCAGTTAATACCTTTTACCAAGGTCTACTTTCTGAGTATAACTAATATCATTTTAGCAGTCAGGACTTTTTATGTAATCTCGCTCATAAAAAACTGAAGTTTCATTAGTTATTGTCAGCTAATCTAAATGTTTCAATACCTAGTGGTTTCGAAGATAGGAATATATATGACATATTTTACAAGTAACCTAATAATTTTTAGCGGCTGTCATATGCGTACCACAATTAAATCATATGAAAGTGATTTTAAGAAATTTCTGTACACTTCTAAAGTAACCGACCGAAAATAAAAATCCTCAAATTTACTTGTGAAAGTATCAGATTATTTCTATTTACAGCAGCCATGGTGTAAACCTTTGAAGAGTTGAGTAATTAGTTAAAAAGTTACACTATGCCACACCCGGTAAGGAGAATTAGTTCTAGATTTTCCAACCAGATCAATTAAGGCTCTTTATTGAACACCCAATAGCCTTGATACTGAATGACTATTAAAGGTGAATTGAAAATTTGAACCGCAGCTGGATTCGAAACGGCGACCACTTGGTTTCAGGCCCGGTTCTCTACCGACTGAGCTATGAGATTCGACTGCTGACCAGATTTTTATTTAATTTCAGTCACTAAGGGTTTTACCTGACTGATCAGTAAATGGTGCTTGTAGCTCAGTTGGTAGAGCAGCACGCCGGAAACCCTGTGGTTGCTGCTCCGAGTCCGGCCGCAGTCCAAATTTTCATTCAGCTTAAATCATCACCCACTATCAACATTTGCATGAAATCACTTGTTTCATCCCTCATTCATCAGGTTGGCGTAGTAGAAAAGATGGTCGGGATATCGGCTAGAGTTCACAGATAATTTTATTTGTTGCTATTTATTATTTTATATAGTTCCAAGTTTACTATGAGACCTTTAGTCCTAAAAGGTCTAAGCAAATCAGTCAGGTGATTCTTAGAGTAGACGCTTCAGCCTTAGTAAATGTGGTGTAGGCTGAGTTACGCTTATATGTTGCTATGTATTTGTGTGCTAAACAGAATTAGGAGACTTAGACAGTTCAGCTATGCAGTCTCCTTTTAAATGGGTGACATGATCTATGTACAGTATAAAAGCTGGCGTGCTAGGCTATCCTTATAATATAGAAAAAAAATTGACTGTCATTCTCATTGTCTGCTTTTGATGAGTTTTTAGTCAACCCTACGAAGGATCTCTCATTTGTAGCCTAGAATTCGGGTTCGTAGGCCTGAAGTCGTAATTAACTTTATACAGAAAAGAAAATACTCAAAATACTTGTGAACTCACTTATAGGGTAGTTATTGGTTTATTTGACCTATATGCTTGCCTTCACAGTCACTACAAAGCATTTAGTAGATAAAAGTAATCTGTTTAATGAGGTCAAATGAATATTTGAGCCAACATATCTTGTTTCTGAGTGAACGTTTTGGTTTAAGTGCCGTCCTAATCCCAGCCTTGTTGAGAGTTCCTCATAGGCATTCTGATGTTCTCTTCTTTATGTGGCTACTCTATAGAGGTCTTGGATTTCCATTTAGTTGTGTTATAACCACTGTTTGCACCATTACTTTTCTTGTTCGAATGTATCCTTATGTATTTCTCAATCAGTTTTTTGAGTATAGTCATCGAGTGGTAACACTTCTCCGATAAGCCTTATTTCTTTGTTTAATTTCTGACTTACTAGATAAACTTCTTCTTCGACTACTTAGATACTTAACAAAATCTGCCTTTATTAGTTGATGTAGGGTGAGATAAAGTTGGGTCTAGAAGTGTACTAGAATGCCATGGTTTTCTGTAAACACTTTTGTATAAACTTCCATCTTACATTCATTTTATTCTGCAATCTAACATAGCTAATTCTTTCTGTTTAATCTTTTAACTTGACAGTAAATTTAATCTCATCTACTACTGAGTTTATAGAGATTCAGATTTCAGCACATTAAATCTTCCATTTCTATATCTTCACTATACTTTCGGGTTACGATTAAATGTTCTACGAGCCAAACATTCCCAAATGTCCTTAGAAATATCTATTCCGATTATGGAAATCAGAGATGTCATTGCTAAATCTTCTATTCATTTGTATATTTTATCTCAAATTTGAAAACTGTAGAGATGGGATGTAAGATGTAAACTCCTTACACTATGTCTTTAAAAGGTTTTCAGTTAGATCTCATTGTATGTTAATTTAATCTTTCTGTTTAATAAATAAAATATAATTTATAGTTGGGATTTCAAGTCCATATCCTTTTATTTCGGACTAAATTTTACTTGCCAATATCATATAACTTATGTTCATCATTTTAATGGATATATTATATGCTTACATCATGGTTGTACTGTTCTTCGTAGGCTATAATGATGATGTTATTTTATTTATGTGAAGCAGTTGCCTCATCCAGGTCAGTTGTCTTGATACAGAAATCTATTTGTGATTTTTAGCACGCAACATCTATCACAATAGGTTTGCACACAGACAAATAACAATTTATCCAAGAATTCACCCTACACCATCGATAATGCCTATTCATTAGTAGTAAACTATTCTTGTGAGGAAACATAAAAACGTATTATTCACAATGGGGAATAAGTGGGAGAAAAAGATATACATATATTGTCATGGGACAGATGGTTGGTTGTTGTGTAAATAAGGCATTTTCCGTATAATTGGTCTTATTGTATAGTAGATGAATTAGGTGTAGAAATACGATAACGTCTTAAAAACTTTTCATTAAATGTTATATGTCTAATATTTTTCGATATTTTTCTCACTCTAACTGATCATCAGTTTTATCTTCTTTACCAAATTCAGTTTATGATTTATCAAACAATTATTTTAGAGATGATTGTGATGCACCGGTAAAATCTGCATAGGTCATCTCATCTACTTACAAATTTTTTGACTTTGTTCCATTTGAAAATAATTATAAAGCATTGAAGACTTAAGATAGTTCCCTTTCAAAATAGGTTTCAAGAGCCAGTCAAACTTTATGGCTCTTGATAATGGTCTGAGACTACTTAGCAGTGTAAACACCTCGTCGTTTGTAAATTGGTCCCTTGTTAGCTGAGGTCTAACGTTCACTGTGGTTACAGACTATAGTCATTCTTGAAGGGTTGACAAGTTTATTATTATTATTATTATGAATTTTATAATTTAATAATTAACATGGGAGCTGTTGGCTTGAAATTTTTCACATTGATGAATGCAACAACTTTATCGATGCTATTGTGTAAGTCAACGATTAAAGATTGAGTTAAAAAGTGCCTAGAATTGCGGTAATGATGATGGTTGTGGGTGATGTTTGAGGAATGATTCTATAAGACACCCACATTGAAGCGCTGGGGCAAAATAAGGAAGACATCAGGTTTTGTTCTACAACAGGCACACTTTACGCTTATCTAGCAGTGTTTTCACTACCAACATTTGGAGGAATTAGGGCTGATTTTTTCAACATCCTATAGGACATATTTCTAGGAAAATCGTTTGAAAATTCCGAGATAATTTTGACAAAGAAAAACGAATATGGTGTCATCATGAAAATATTACGGATGAAGTTTGGTTCAGCATTCCTCATTGTCTTGGCATCAGAATGTTCACATT